CATCAGCCCTTGCTGCTTGTCCAAAATGCTTCCTGGTCTCCGTGAAAACCCATTGATTAACTACCTCTTGCCACACCAAGTGTGGGAGGGGTTTTAATAACCATCACCCTCTTTCCATAAGCCTTAGTGGCGCTGTGTGATGGGGTTTGCTGGGGCTCTATATCCTCCGCTCGATAGCCTTAGTTCCTGACATAGCCAAGCTGGCCATGGCTTAGTCGTAGAATAAAGTGCGTTAAAATTTGGAAAGCATACTCTTTGCATCCTTTTTATTGAAGGACGGTACATCCTTACCCAGCAATTCTCAACTCCTAAGAAGAGCATCATCAATTCATCAGAGAGAGACTGGTAATCCAGCAGGGAGAACCAGCTGCTTGGCAGTTCCTCAGCCAGAAGCTATTTGATCATTTGGTGGAAGGTGTCTCCAACCAAGATGGAGGAAGTTTGGAGAGAGAAGCACAGGATGATGCTGAGGTCTTTAGGTTTCAGGAGACATGGTGTCTTCTGAGCCCCTATGTGCTTGGTATTCAGCACTCTGTATACATTTGGATATTCTTCATCTGTGTCCTCAGAGATGCTACTTTCCCCACCATGAAGGCCTCCTGTATCATTACACAGAGCAGTTTAACTCTCCAGAGGATAGAGACCTAGCGTCTATTCAGTTGACTGGTGTTGTGGAAGCGAGAGAGGAGACAGGAAAGCTGGTATTTGTTAGGTAGCACATGCTGGCTATTGGTGTGAAGTTCAGCAATGTCAATCATAGCATCTGTGCTAGCCTGAAAGTGGGTCCCAGTGAGGTGGATTTTTGTTTGTTTGTTTGTTTTGTTTCCTGTAGAGAAGGATTTTCATGAGTCGGGACTCAGGTACCACTGGCATCTAGTAATAAGAAGGATAAGGTTGTTCCTACGAATCCTACAATATTTATGATTGGCCCTCATGACAAATGATTTTCCATCTCCAAAGTTCAGTAGGTTGAGAAACCCCACTTTAAAGCATGGTGACCTCAGGTTGATCATTATCCATGAACGCCACTCTCCCTGAGGCAGCTCCAGAGAATATCCAGTATCTTTACATGGCCCCAAAAGGCCCGTAGCATCATTCTTGGGTACTTTCTTAATCAGAACAGTCACAAACATGTCTAGATTTAGAAAACAGTGAAAAGAAACACAGATCCCACTTCTCAATGCAAATAATTAGCCAGGTGGTAGTGGGACACACCTTTAACCCCAGCACTCAAAAGACAGGCAGACGGATCTCTGTGAATTCAAAGAATAACAAATAATTTATGACCATTTTAAAAAAGAGTTTATTTCTATTTCATGTGTGTGCGTGTTTTGCTTGTTTGTACGCACGTATGTGCACCACGTGCATGCCTGATGCTGCAGAGGCCAGAAGATAGTGGATTCCCTAAACCTGGAGTTACAGATTGTTGTGGGCCCTCATGTGAGTGCTGGGAACAGAACCCAGGTCCTGTGCAAAAGCAGTAAGTACTTCTAAAGCTGAGCCATCTCTCCAGCCCCTGTGATCAGTTTTTAAGTCCCCTAGAAAACAATGTAGACATTCTCGTAGAAAGCAGGCAGGGGATCAGGACCCACTAGGCACCCTCTAGTTACTTTCTCCTGCTGGCTGCTGACCACAGTGGTGCTGAGTCAGCGAATCAGCTCAAAGGACTAGCTGTAGCCAGCTCCAAAGCCCTGTCTACAGCCCCTACTCCCCAAACTCTTCACTGAAGCTCTACTGGGGTTCCTCTGAACCGGCTGGGAATATTGACCCTCGGCGTCTTCATTTGATTGACTTTCTGCTGTTCCCCAATTGAACCCCATCTGTTTTTCCCACAATCCTTTATACCTACTACCTCACCTACCCCGAGTCCCTGCGCACTCCATCCTAGAGTTCTTCATGACTGGCTTGGGCAGGGAAATGTACCATTAGTGATTTAATCTCCGCAAGACATTTCTCTCTAATTGCTAGTCATGGATGATAATTAGTGGCAGTTAATTCCTGATCGTTAACAAGCTAATACTTAGAGGTAATGGTACCGGTAATCATCATAAACTGTGCAAAACCGCTCTGCTCCAGGGCCCCAGTTTCCAAAGGATGACACTGCATCGTGATATCCTCAGCACAGGAGTGGGCCGGCACCCCTCACTTTTCTCACAGGAGTGGCCAGAGAATTGATGTCCCTAATCTTTAATTTCATGTTCTTCTCTGGCTATAGAAATGACGTGTGTTCTTTTAGAAGCTGTGTGGAGCACAGAAATGTATAAAGAACATAAAACACACATAGCTTTATTACTTGAAGCATCTTCTGAGTCTGTGATATTTTCCTGATGAGAGAGGTAGAGAATTTCTACAAGTTGTTACCATGTAAGAGATGTTTACCTTAGAATGCTCAACAAACAAAGACTACTCGTTTAGCAGAAGCCTGACCACGTGGAAATGCTCTGACTGCAGAGGGATGAGAGTCAGGAGACCGAGAAGCAGACGTCACAAGCACAGACTCGGAGCAAGGGAGATGGTGTGATGAGGAAGACATTTATGGAATAAACCTGAGAAGCTGACTTTGATCCCCAGAACTCTCATAAAAGATCTGTCTGTATATTGATCTTTCAGTTCCTCAGAATTAGCAGGCTGGGTCATCTCAGACCCCTCCACCTTCTGGAACCTGATTGGCAGACGTGGGTGGAGGGAAATATTAGTCTTGTTGCTTACAATGTGGTTTTCAGAATCAGAAGTGCTGAGCCACAGTGGCCCGCCATGGAAATGACACCAGAAGCTACACCCCAGAGGCGCCCAATAGGAAGCCCTAAAACATGTTTCTCTAATCTTATGTAATACTTGGTCACTTAGACTATTTTCTAAAGACCCATGTCTTATGCACTCCTAGACTGCTGAAAACCCTCTTTTCCCATTTCTCCACCACCTCAACACTCTTTGGGCCTGTTCATTTTTACAGTAACAGTCTAGGCACAGAGCTTGGAATTAGACCTGATTTCAATCCATTCTGCCTGCTAGGATATCCTGTGGGCTGCTTGACACCTCTGAGCCTCAGTTTCCCCATCCGGGAAATGGGAGTTAATGTTAATTACTTCCTCATGGGGCTACTGTGAAGGTTTGGTGATGGCTTTGTGCTATAGTTAATAGTTAGTACTTTATAAATAAATATGATGCCACAATAAACACATAAATATGTTTGCAATTGCTAACAATGTTACCTTTCACCTGCTGTACAGTCGCCATGTTCTCCAGAAAGGGAGGTGACTCTTGGGGTTTGCTCCTGTGGAGTCCACAGGCAAGGTCACCTTCAGTCTCTTCTTTTATGCTTTGCTTTACTGATTCCAATCCAATCTCCTCTCCACTTTCATCTTCCCAAATCTCTAAGACCCAAATCTTTCTCATCTCTGCCAAGCTCAACATTAAAATTGGCTGCTCAGCTTCGGCTGGGCAATAGCTGTCGTATTTCAGATGCCCTGGTCTGTCTGCTCTGAGAAAAGCAGGGCTTTATTGCATTGTTACTGAATAATAATAACACCAGGTCCAGCTTTGCCTTTTGCAAACTACAGTCCTGTCCGCCGTGACCGTTAATCCCCCAGCAATTAGGGGGTGGGGTGGGGGTGGGGGATCAGAACAGGTCTTATTGGTCTTGAGGAGCATGGATCTCAAAGGGGGTTTCCTGGAGCCCTCATTTTGTGCCCAAATAAGTCTGGGGAAGTTTGGAGTAAGTGAAACTAAAGTGGTTGTCATGCAATGCACTTCTTCCAAACCAAGATACAGCGCCTCCTGATGCCTTCTTCCCCGCCCCCAGAATATTCCTTAGACTTATTGCTCCAAACCTCACTGCATTGCGTAGCGAATGACTTGACATTTCACTTCCCTCTTCCTTGTCAGAGCCAATACAGAAAGGCTTGTAGGGCCTTCTCGACCCATGCTCTCCCACCCTGCAGACTTTATACTCCTCCAGAGTGCCAGCATGTGGCCCATACCGTAGCTCTCCCAACATTCCCATGGTCAACTGCTAGGGTAGGACTGCTGCTGTGGGTGGGATCAGGACCTGAGTGACCCCTCCAGGCAAAGAACACTAATATCACCTCATGACACTATGCGGTGAGCTCAACTTCACAGCCAAACCTGGTTTCTGATGCTTTTCAGGTGTCTTGGCAGCCACCTATGCTTAGATCTCAGCCAAGGCATGACATCATCCCTGGGTAGGGTCTTGTGCCTGGTGGACTCAAAGCCGCCCACACCATGGGCAGGACTGCTATAGTTCAACCCCTGTCCTTGTCACCCTAGGCTTACATCTTTTATAGAGGTGGCTCTGTCTGCCTTCTTCTAGGCTCAGGTCACACTCTAAGCTTTCTCTGCAAATAAGTTAACTTTTTCATTTCTGTAACAAAATACATGGCAAAAGCAACTTAAGGGAGAGTGTGTTAAGCCAGTTAAATCTTTCTGGAAACATCCTTACAGTATACCCAGAGGTGTGTTTCCACAGTGGCTCAAAATCTAATCAGGAAGGAAGGATGGATGGATGGATGGATGGATGGATGGATGGATGGATGAACGGATGGATGGATGGACAAATGAGTGGGGATGGATGGACAAATGAGTGGATGGATGGATAAATGGGTGGATAGATAGATGCATGGATGCCTAGGTGGGTAGGCAGACGTTCAGACAAATGAGTGGATGGATAGATGAATGGGTGGATGGATGGATGGATGGATGGATGGATGGAGGGATGGAGGGATGGATGATATGTAAGTGGGTGGATAGGTGGATAGATGAATGTTCATGTGTAGTAAGGGGAACTCGGAAGACAAGGGAATAGATACAGTAGCCTTAAGATAAATCTGTGAATTCCTGAGGAGAAAAGGGAGAGGGTCACCCTTAAGAGGAGATGGTCTGGACACTAGTGGCCTAGATGTTTATTCATCTACTGACTCGGAGAAGACTGACTTCAGCTACTGCTCCCCGCCTCCAGCTGATACCCTCTCTCTTCCCCATAGCCCATTCTGCCCTCGGTGAGACAGCACTCTTTGCTGCCCAGTCACCATCCAGGAAGATGAGCGCCTGTGGGAGGAAGGCCCTGACCCTGCTGAGTAGTGTCTTTGCCGTCTGCGGCCTGGGCCTGCTGGGCATTGCCGTCAGCACGGACTACTGGCTATACCTGGAAGAAGGCATAATTCTTCCCCAGAATCAGAGCACGGAGGTCAAGATGTCCCTGCACTCGGGCCTCTGGCGGGTCTGCTTCCTCGCTGGTAAGGACAGTCCTGTTCTGGGGAATACCTGCCCCAAGGGGATCTCGCCCTACTTAGAGACAACCAGAAGGTGCCAGTAGACAGTTCACCATAGACAATCTCCACAGCCCAGAGGCAGTGCAAGCGACCACCAGACCACAGACTCAAACTCAGACTCTGATTCACAATGTCCTCTTGAGCAAGCTCTCTCAGCTCCCACAGCTTGCTTTCTTCCTAAAAGATCCGTGCAAGCCTGGCGTTCCCAGCCTCTGCCTCCCAGTGCTGAATGACACCTCACAGACCTGAATCACCTGTGCAGGCCTTTCATTAGCGCCTCAAGTTATTGATTGTGCATAATCCTCCCTATGAAACTGCAAGACACACTTATTATTGACACGTTGCAAACACCAGAAGTGAAGATTCTGGCAGCTTAAATGCATCTAGACTTCTACTTCACTGACATCCACAAGTTTAAGGAACAGGAAATGTTCAGCAGCTTCCTGTTCCTCTGTCTGTGAAATGGCCGCACAAAGAAAACACAAATGTGGATCCTTCCAGGTCTGTGGGAGGATGTAGATTTTAGACTTCCTTTCAGCTCACTGAGGATTCTCAAGTGAGTTACTGAACCAAGAGCCCTGTCCTTAAACCCTTTATCACAGCCTGAGTCTACCCTATATAAGAGTAGACCCCCATGTCCTACAAGATCTGGGAAAGCTGTTCTAGTCAGCATAGCCACAGTACGTCCTTATGTTTCTTTTGTGGAATCCTGGAACCTGTGTGTGAATCGAGAAGAGATACAGTTTGTTTCCCCAGCCTTTTCTCCTGTCTTGGTGCTAGGGCTCTGGTGGACAGGCTAGACTTGAATTAGGTATACCAAAAGGGTCACCTCCAGCTCCACTATGGCTACCTTGTGTCACTTTGTAAAGCCTGCTTTAGGAACAGCATCCAACTCTGACCTCATCTCCCACTGCCCCAGATGCTGTGGCATCTGTCTCTGCTTAACCTGAAGCAGAGTCTTGAGGCCACCAGGGTCTGATTGACAAGGCTATGGAAGGTTACTGCACAAAATCTACACTCGTGCATCTGAGACAGCCATGTGCTGTCATCAGTCAAAAGCAACAGATGGCACCCAGATGTTTGGTGGACACAGAGTTCATAGTGCTGACCTCTTGACATGCTTCAGTCCTTACTCCAGAAAGAGACATCAAGACATGTGCCCTACTTCTGCTGGGGGGCCACCATCCAGGGTTGAAAACTTACCTAGAGATTTTATCTAGTCCAAGTACAGAGACACAGGCCCAAAGATTCTGGAAACATTTGGAGTGTACTAACTTCAAATCCTTGTTAGAGTAGAACCTGGGAATAGCAGTAATTTCTTATCTCCACAGGTGAGGAGCGAGGACGCTGTTTCACCATCGAGTATGTGATGCCCATGAACTCCCAGATGACGTCAGAATCCACAGTCAATGTTCTAAGTAAGTGTCTAGAACATTCTAACCTGGGCCACAGATGGGACAGAGAAAGCCAGGCAAAGGGAAGAGTCAGACATCCAGAATCTTCTCAAGAGCCCTTGGCCTTAGCTGGTTATACTAGTGTAGTTCACTGGAGCTTGCCCTGTACATTTGTTTTCCTGCAATGAAGATAGATTTCTAGAACCTCTATGTCTCTGATCCCCAGAAGTGGAGGAGAACTCCACTGACTGAAGCAGTCTCTCTGGACTTTACATAAAGACTGACTTTATGGCCTTAATCTCATCAAACTGTCTTCTGACCCTCAGCATGAACTTGATGCTATAATGCGATCCATGATCTTGGTCTGTTGGGAGAGTAGGCTCCAGGACCCTCTGGATACAAACATTCATGAACACATCTGTTATGCAAAATAGTCCACTACTCCATGTGAATATACCAACACACTTGTCCTGCGGACTTGAAGTCAGCTCTAAATAATGGCTAATATCTACCACAGTGTGAATAACTAAACTCAGAGTCCGGACCTTTCCCTCATCAGAGGTCAAACTTATGTCACATGGCCCCAAACCCCAATTTTCTAATTGGTGTGGCTGTTCTTTCCTGCCTCCATCCTGAGTGACCTGTTAGCATAAAAAAATCGGGTGCTCTCAGGACCCCACGTGACTAACAAAGATACCCTTTGAGAAATTAGGTTACCTCTCAGGAACCTGGGACAAAGAGCAAATCCTTTATTATGCAGTAGAACACCACCCCCAAATGATTATAAATTGAAAAATAAAGAGACCCGTGCCGGTCCCCTGTAACACTCAGAGCCTGACCTGTACCCTTGGAAATGGTGGGTGTCTCTTGAAGATGAGGCAGGATGATGTGACTGACCAGGCACCCCACAGCTCTCCTATAGACAGGCAGTGTAGTCTCCTGGGAGCGGAGCTTATGCCTGAAGGGGAGACAAGTCTCTGAGTAACCACGTTGACAGTTGAAGTCAGACCTTCCCATCCTGCCTTGGAAACAAGCCCTGCCAGCATCAGGAGACCCTTAGGTCACTGGGTGGAACTAGGACTTTGAGCATCCATTGGTAGACATTGTAAGAACGTAGTTCTTGAAGTGAGACAGAGTAGGGAGGTCACTGACAGGCTGTCCCTCTGCCCTCTGCATTAGAAATGATTCGTTCGGCCACGCCCTTCCCGCTGGTCAGCCTCTTCTTCATGTTCATCGGCTTCATTCTGAGCAACATCGGACATATCCGTCCCCACCGGACCATACTGGCCTTTGTCTCTGGCATCTTCTTTATCCTCTCCGGTAAGTTGTGATGCCCTAGACTTTTGACTTTTAGCTCCTGAGCAGTTCTGCTTCAGGAAGTCCCACTCACAACTGTGAGCCAACACTGGGCATAGAATAAGATGAGCCAGTGACCTAGGCAGAACTGAGTTATCCTCAACTACCCTCAGAGACTCCTTGCTTTCATGATCTAACAATACCCCATATTCTGAGCTCGCTAGACCCCTTCAGCATAGACATATCTTCATGAATGATCACTAGGCTGTACTACATTCGTTCATTCATTCACTCATTCATTTATTCAGTCAGTCAGTCACAATGTCTATCCGACTGTGTTCTGTATGCTGGCATCACTGACTATAGAAAGGTCAGTGTCGTGGGAGATAGACTGGAAACAGGAACTCAGAGTGGAGGGGACTAGGACAGGAGGCACCGGGAACTGCCAAGGGGACCAAGAATATAGCTAAAATTCCGAACAAGGTATTTGCTAGTCAAGGAAAACTAATAGGAAGTAGGCAATGGACTTAGGCTGGAGGGAGGAAATAGCAGGAAGCGTGGGAAACTCTCATGGAGTCTCTGAGCGCTGAGGAAACGTACTGAGAAGTGAGATTATAGAGGCACCCGAACTATCTTAAGATCTGGAACTTTATGAGAAGCCTTTAGAAAAATTTGAGCCAAGGAATGACATCATGTTTGGATGCTAGAACCCTTGCTGTTAGGATCAGTGAGAGGAAGGGAAGTGAGACAGGAGCCAAGAAACCTGGGCAGGTCCCCAAGCTACTGGAAGTACAGGACTCGGGCAATAGTGGCACAGACTGGTGGATACTGCAGCAGAAAGAAGAAGGAAGGTTCATGTGTCATTTAGAAGGTAAACTCAACAGGACCAGGCTCTCAAGGGAAGCGTCGAGGATGAGAGCCGTTTGCTTGCTTCCACACTGAGTGGATATTACATCCGTGATTAGGAATCATAGACAGAAAAATAGCTTTGCACAAAGGTTATAAGATCAGTGTGGGAAACTAAGTTTGATTCTTCCATTGTGGCATAAAGGTAGAGGTATATAGATGGCTGCCAGACATCAGGGCATGGGGCTCATAGAATCACCTAAATCACAAAGATTTGAGAGCTGTCAGCCTAGGGGATGCAAGCATGAATCATGGTGAGTTTACACATGGGAACTCCATGAGAAGGCAAAGGAATGTGGTGAATAAAATAGATGCTTTATCCCCAGTGACCTCACGGAGACCTGTGACCTAAAAGATAGTGGGTTGGTTTTCAGGGTGTTGATATTCAGTGTCCTGAATTGATTGACTAGAAAGAGGTCTAAGAGTTGATTCTCAAGTAGAAGATGAGTAGGTGGCTTGAAAATTATGAATAGATGTAATGACTGGCTGGATGGATAGGTGAATGGAAGGATGGATGTGTGGGTGGATAGATGGGTGGTGAGTGGTGGATGGATGGGTGGGTGGATGGATGGATGGATAGATTGGTGGACAGATGAATGAATGAATGAATGAATGAATGGGTGGGCAGGTGTATGGATGGATGAACAGATAGGATGGATGGATGGATGGATGGATGGATGGATGGATGGATGGATGGATGGATTGGTGGATGGATTGGTGGATAGATGAGTGAATGAATGGATGGGTGGGCAGGTGTATGGATGGATGGAAAGATGGATGGATGGATGGATGGATGGATGGATGGATGGATGGATGGATGAGTGGGTGAGTGGATGGATAGGTGGGTAAGTGGATGGATGGATGGGTGGATAGATGGATGGATGAATGGATGTATGGATGGAAAGATTGATGAACAGATAAATGACAAAAAAAGAAAAATGATTTTCTGGCATAGGCATCCTTACTGCCAACCGACTTCCCAGTCCTTTTGGGATCTTTCCCCCATTTCCCTGTCAGCATAATCTTAGTGCCAGGTGACAGATTACCTGACTCCCAAGAACCATTCTTCCTCACTCTTTCCTTACACACACATACACACATCAGTGCATGTATGCACACAAACACACACACATACACTCCTCTGCCCATCTAATTCTTCTTCTACACACCTGTAGTGCATTCTCTCCTCCACTCCACCCTTCCAGTCTTTCACCCTTCAGACAACACCTGCAGTATCATCAGCCCACCATGATGGTGGTATTCCACCTAGCCAGAGTGCGACCAACTCCAGGCCAAGTGATCCACTTCTCCTGTGTAAACTCCACAGCAGCCAAGATGGTTGGAGCTCAGGATGCCTGAGATTCCAACCGTGAGTGAATCACAGATCTTAAGTCTAGGATGGAGCTGATATACCTGAAGTTGTCTCGTGATAATAACAGAGGGACATCTGGGGACAACAGTGACTCACTTAAGTACAGAGGAAGGTTTGAATCATACCTGTCTCTCTTTAACATCCGTCCTTGGAGAGGCCCAGGTTTCATAAAATAATGTGAGTGGAATGAAATATTAAGAGCTCAACAAAGAGTAATTAATTATGCCTTGACTCAATTACACTCACTAATTGATGAGACTGTTGCCTGAAGCAGTCATGTGCACAATGGCAGTTGGAGTTCGGGGGCCCCAATGGCTTCCTGATCCACTGCAGGCCAGGATCTGATCTAACTTACCTTACATGTCCTGGCTGAAGATGTCAGAGAGGATTCACTGTGTAACCAGATGGTCTGCATAGGCCCCAGGCCACACTGGAAGACTCCAGAGAGATATGTACCACCCCCTGCTGGAGACAGGGATTAGAGGCCCTGCTGAAGAGCCTTATCATAGTCCTTAGATTAATAAAAATCCTCTTCGTAGTTCAGGGTTCACATCCCAGGGTTATAGCAATGCCTTTTTAGAAAAGTATAAGAGCAGGACCCCAGAGCAGGCCCAGTGAACAAGGATACCCAGGAGGGTGTGTATGACCGAGGCAGTCATATCAATCACTAGGCTTGTGGCTTGGCTCAGGAGAGTGGTTGAACAGGGAGATTCTACCTATGCCTGTTCACTACCTAGAAGATGCTGATGTAGACAGAATCATGGGGGGCAAACTCAAGTTCATTTCTGAACTCCAAATTGAAGGCTTTGTTCTCAGTGGGTACCATATTGGCAAACTCTCTGGACCTCCAGGCTGAGTGTTCCCTTCTCTTCCCTTCCCTTTCATCATCCAGGCCTCTCTCTTGTGGTGGGCCTGGTGCTGTATATCTCCAGCATCAATGATGAGATGCTCAACAGAACCAAGGATTCAGAGACCTATTTCAACTACAAATATGGATGGTCATTTGCTTTTGCTGCCATCTCCTTCCTTTTAACAGAGGTAATCTGCCCCATACTGCCCTGTGCCAGATTGGTACCGCCCCACCCGGAAGGGAGGAGGGAAGCATCCCACAGCATCCTGGACCACCTACCCACTCTACCACTCTTCCCCAGAATGTACCTATCCCTGGCTTTACTGGGTCTCTAATATCCTGGAGGTTCCCAGGGCCCAGTCCTGTCCACACATGCACTGACCCTCCACCAGAGAGGGTTCACGACTGTGTCCCAGGAAGGCATAGCTGGGACATCACAAGAAGACACTCCCATGCCCCATCAGTGAGTTCTCTTCTGTTTCTCTATCACTGTAGAGTGCTGGGGTGATGTCTGTGTACCTGTTCATGAAGAGGTATACAGCTGAGGACATGTATAGACCTCACCCAGGCTTCTACCGGCCACGTTTGAGCAACTGCTCCGACTACTCCGGCCAGTTTCTACATCCAGATGCCTGGATCCGGGGCCGCAGCCCCTCCGACATCTCCAGCGATGCCTCCCTACAGATGAACAGCAACTACCCAGCTTTGCTCAAGTGCCCAGACTACGACCAGATGTCATCATCTCCCTGCTGAGTCAGCCCTAGCCTTCTCCTCACCTGAACTTTGGATGGCTGGACAGCGTTTCCCTCTCCCCCTGAGCCGAGGCCCAGGCTGTTCCCTGCTTAGCCATTGACCACATCCTCTCCCTGCACCCAGTGTAGTTAGCTTGTCCTTCCGTGGGCATCAGAGCCTGGAGTCAGAGGCATGCTGATTGGCTGAGAGCATGGGTGAAGCCCTGCCTCTAAAGTGTCAATCATAGCCATGGGCTCCTGGGAAGCCAGCAGCGCCCCCAAGCTGTGCTGTGCTGGAAGATGCTTCTGTGCTAGTTGAGTTTTGTTCCTGCACTTCCGGGTTAGCCAAGGCCAGGCTGGAGTTGCTGAGTTTCTGATACAATCAAAGCCAGACTTGAATGCTTGCCTACCAGCCTGGCTCTCCATCCGGGTGACTCTGCTGCAGTGGTCTGGCTGGCTCAGAAATCTCAAGCAGACTGTTCCTTTTATGTCATCCGCCTTTCCACAAAACACCTCTCTCTGTGCAGCACTGCCCTCGTACTCCCCAGCTCTGAAGCATTCCCCGTTTCATCCTTCCAGAACAGCTGCCCTGGTCAGAAACAGTTAAGTATTCAGCAGTGCCAATGACGTCACAAAGGTGTTAATGGCGGAAGATGTCTTAATACACATGACCCCTTGATAAGCTATTTCATGGGGTCTTTTGATGCCTTAACCCAAAGAAGTGACTGATAATGAGAACTCAAGACTTTGACAGTTTTGTATTCAGAGCGCCAAGCACTGTGTCCAACCTTGGGGGCATTGTCCCTGACTTTCAGGGACCCGATTTCCATCCAAGGCTCTAAGATCTGATCGTGTAGACAGGTTTCTGTACCACCTAAGATCACCATAGCTGTGAGCTAGATTTGATGACACAGTGCATTTTGAGCCCAAACAAGCCAGATTCCAGATGCTCCAGCTGCCCTGCCAATGATGCCTGTGAACATTTGGGGGTTACCAACTTAATCCTGATACGGGAAGCATCTGCTTCCCAGTTACATGGCATATGTGGGCAAATCACATGCCTCCAGAATGCCAGACAATGTGACAACTGCTTTCCTGATGGGAACACTGAGCTGAGAGGCTACAGGCGCTTCTGAGAAGTCCACAAAACCCCCATAGTTCTCCAGGTGTCCGCTCAGCTGGACCCTTGTTCATTCTGAGAGTTTTGAGAGGCAAGCCAATGTGGCATTCTCTGTGCTGTGTGTTTTTGCCGAGCCCACTCTTGCCTCGTTCTCTTTAAGATGCCAAATGTACCCGAATATACAAAGCCGCAGTGGGTGCCGGGCAGGCTCTGGCAAGTGGCACAGGAAACCGCACAGCTGATGCCTACAGGAGGACACTGACTCAGTCAGCATGGAAGAGGCCAGAAGTTCAAGATCAAGTTGTCAGAGGACTGATCTCTGAGGCATCTGCTCCTGGCTTACAGATGGCCGGCTTCTTGCTGTATCCTCATGTGCTGCACGTGAGGCTGGTTTTTTTGTGTGTGTTTTTTTCATATCCAAATTACCTTTAAAGGACACACCAGGGACTGGGGATATAACTCAGTAGAGTCCTTACCTAGCAGGCATGAAGCCCTGGATTTGACCCCTCAACACGGTATAATCCAGGTGTGGCAGTACACATCTGTAATCCTAACACTTGGAATTCAAGGGAGGATCTTCAAGGTCATTCTCAACTACATAGCTAGTTTGAGACTAACCTGGGCTACATGAGACTGTGTCCCAAGACATTTTAAAATCAGATATGGATTAGAGCTCATTCTAATAAATTCAATGATCAGTATTAATAACTATGAATATAATCTTTTAAGTACCCATGTACAAATGCATTCACATTCTGAGGTACTGGAGGCTGGGGTCTCAGAGTACAAATCTGGGAGAGGGCACAGCTCAGCCCCTAACGTACAGATTGCTTTGTACACTGCTCTCCATCAGTCTCACAAACAGCGGAAGGGAAAGAGAAGGGAAGCCCAGTTTTGCCTCTCGGTTCAGTCCCTGACTCAATGCTTGGGAAACCCCTTCAGTTCTGAGAAGCTCAGCTGAGACGGCTTCCATGAATCCTCCCCACACCCACACCTCCAGTGATCTAGTCCACACTGTTTTTGTGTGCCAGTTTCTGTGTCTGCCTGTGAACTGAGGGCGACTAGCAGGGCCTGGCTTCCCGCTCCATCCGCACCCCGCAATGGCTGTCCTTCGCTTTCGCCACTGTTTGCCAGAGTCTGTTTGGAGACGGCTGAGAGGCATTTTCAAGCTGCACAGTCGTTTGGATGTGCTTGACTACAACTTTTGTCAATGTCATTAACACCTGCAATGTACTTTTCTCTCTCTAAAACACTTCTCTCTCACCGTGCTGGGCTTGCTTGTGTACACCTGGGGAAAAAAAACAGAATCTACTCCTAACTCTAAGCTGACTGCTGACTGTGTATTGTTAGAGCGTGCTATCCCCAGTCTAAGGCTGAGCTGTCAAGTCCAAGTGTGTCCCCACCCTGGAATGGGTCATGTGCACTTACCGTAGGAATGGATCTGGGTCCCTTTCTTCCCCACAAGGGGATGGGAGAATGTATCAACACATACCACCGTCATAATTTCTTTTCCATCTATAAACTGTTTTCAAAAACTATTCATAGTCTTTCCTTGATCAAAATATTTGTGAATCACACACTCAAGTGCCTAAACACGACTCTTGTCATCTCTCGGTGGTACTTTCTGTAGTTGACTTTATCCTTGGGTTAGCAGCAAGAGGGTGGTATAAAGTGCTATACGGAAGATGCAATAGCACCCATAGAGATACAGGGGTAACCCCTTCTTTTGTCTTCCCTAGAGACAAAGACAACAAATGCCCTCAGTAGCAAGCCCCAGAGACTCACCTCATCCCCCACTGGCCAATTCTGGGTCACATACCCGTTCCTGAACCACTTTCTGGACATAGGAATAGGGTGACCATCTATATAAGAAATTATCTCCCTAAACTTAAGGCGATAGCAGTCACATCACAACTATTTGAGTGAGTTGGCTGGGCCTTGGGAAGGTGGTTCTTGCTCAGGGTCTCCCAGGAAGTAGAACTTGAGCAGTGGCTGTTATTTAAAGGCTTTCTTGTTCACTTGTATGGCCATTGAGGTCCACTGGCAGTCAGTAGTTGAGGTTGTTGGCTGGGATACCTGTGTATAGGATTTCCTCAGAGCCTGGCAGCTGGGAGCTAAGAGGGTGTATCCCACGAGACAGGCAGGAGCCATACTGATGGTTTTGAAGAAGCCTTGCAAGTGACCCAAAGTCATATTTATTATCATCATTAAACCACCCAGATTTAAGTGTAGAAACATAGATTCTACTACTTAAGAGATGAGAAGACAGCCTTCCATTGTATCACGAGTTAGCACCTACTGTAGTGACCCCCTTGGAAATACAACATACCACTTCATGATTGTTTTTGCCCATGTTATCCCAGACCCGAGATCCAGATGCCATTCTGAGGTGTGGGCTGTGTCTGTAACCAACTTCCAGATTATGTCAAGGCCATGACATACCCTAGGCTACATGGATAGGATTCTAAACACATGAATGTTCTTAAGCTCCCCAGAGAGCTCGGACCCCAGGATTTAGGACTTGGACCTAGTTCTTATGGAGTTTACCATCAGAGGTGAAGATAAAGCCAATTTCTCACTAGTTCATTTGGCTTCTTACAAAATGCAGGAGAGGATAAAGAGTACAGGTAGGCCACCAAGAAGGATAAAGGTCCCAGGACCATCCTTGGTCCCTCTCAGCCTTTGCTGGCCTCGGTAAGGCAGGCTGTGCCTATGGGCAAGGTGTCAAGCTTCAGCCCAGTCAGTACTTTGGCTCCAGAGCCATCCTTCATCATTAGGATGCAATAACAGCTTGCCCTTGAGGACCAGGATGGCAAGTACTAAGTGTTCCAGAGCCAAGATGATCGTCTTCCTATGGTAAGGGCCAAGAATGGACACCCAGTCCTGAGGAGGGCCAACAGATCTTCAGAGGTGACCTTGTAGTCTCAGACTTCCAACTATAGAACTAGCCAACCTCCAGGGCAGGCTTTTGAATAATTCATTTTGCACTCATCTATTATGAATTAACCAGGCTTGAGGGCTTTGGGGCCATAAAGAGACCATGTATCACTATGCTCGGAGTGAATACAACTTCAGTCGAATTCTAAATCCACCCACACAAAATATCCCTCACACTGTTTCAGATTCAGAACAACAGGATGAAAATGACCTCTAGTCTGTTGTTTCCAAAACTCAATCATGAGGGCTGGCAAGATGGCTCAGTGGTTAAGAGCAGTTGCTGCTCTTGCAGAGGATCTGGGTTTAGTTCCCAGCACCCATGTGGTGGCTCACACTGGTCTATAACTTAAGTTCTGGATGATCCAGTGCCCTCTACTGGTCTCCCTGGGCACTGCACACACACAGTGCACTTAGAGACAAAACACTCATACATATAAAATAAAAATAAATAAAGCTTTATTTGAAAATCCCAAGCATAGCAAAAATTGTAAAACTCTCCTCAGATTAAGTTGAGTTTTTTTTATTAAGAAAATGGTAGAGACTAAATTAAGTCTGTCCTATGAGAGATTCCAGGTAAGCATCATCTATGAAATCTACAGCAAGCTTCGATGCTCTCAGCATCAAGGTCGGCTCTGAGGCTGAGGTTTGTCATTCACCTGATAAAGGATTCACTTCTGTGGACTCCAATACAAGCTCTTGTGAATCAATTAAGACACCATAGCATCAGCTTCCACACCCGCAGGAGGACATCACCAGACATTGTCATCAGCCCACACCTAAAGCCTTCATCAAGGATACAGTTCCTAGTAGGCATTTGTAAGCATGACCCCATTTAACCCTCTTCATCCTATGTGTGGAAGGGTTGTGAGACCTAAAGAAGTTTCTTACCAGATTTAGAAACTTGGTGACTGGGGAGACAGCTCACTCAAGTGCTTATCAATCAAATATGAGAACCTCCTGAGTTTGATCCCCAGAACCCACACAAAAAGCCAGGCATGGTGCTACACGTCTATAATCCCAGTACAGGGGAGGCAGAGATATAAGAATCCCTGAGATTTGCTGACTAGCCAAACACTCTAGCTGATTTGGTGAGCCCTAGATTCAGTCAGAGATCCTGTCCAAACAAGTAAGGTGGATTTTGACTAAAGAAAACATGGCATGGCCAGGCAGTGGTGGCGCTCGCCTTTAGTCCCAGCACTTGGGAGGCAGAGGCAGGTGGATTTCTGAGTTTGAGGCCAGCCTTGTCTACAGAGTGAGTTCCAGGACAGCCAGGGCTACACAGAGAAACCCTGTCTCAAGAAAAAAGAAGTAGAAGACGAAGAAGAAGAAGAGAAAGAGGAAGAGGAAGAGGGAGAGGGAGAGGGAGAGGGAGAGGGAGAGGGAGAGGGAGAGAACACAGCATGGAGACATCTGATCACCACAGATGAATATGCATACAGAGACAGAGAGACAGAGAGAGACAGAGAGACAGAGAGAGACAGAGAAAGACAGAGAGAGGCAGGAGTACACACTTACTCAGAATTGCTAATCATTGCAATGCTCTGCAAGTTTTATTTCACTCTCGAGAGAGCTTGGCATCTGCAATTCTAAATGTGCAGCTTGGCAAATGTATCCTTTCCATAATCAGAGAGGGAGGGAAAGGCCTCACTAAGTGGGAAGGAACGGTGGCACATAGTTCCCTAGGAGCCTCCCAATGCCTTGTCTGCCATCTCTGCTCATGACGTCAACCATATTGAAAAGGCTGTGGTACAATTTGGGAGCTCCCAGGCTGAAACCACTCAGAGGCGGAAGCTGACTCACCCTTGCCCACTGATAACTGGAGGAAGACTTGTGACACCTGGTCAAGCTAGTGTGTCAGCAAATCCTCAGCTGACAGATATTTTTTCCATTCCTTCAAGAAAGCATTTTTGAAGGCTCCACAGGATGAAGAAAAGAGAGAGAGGGAGAGAGAGGGAGAGAGAGAGAGAGAGAGAGAGAGAGAGAGAGAGAGAGAGAGAATGGTGACAATGAACTTGATCCAACCACTCTAAGGTGTGAGAAATGTCATCTTGGCTCACCAAATCAAATTCAATCTGATGGATCCTCTGCTCAGATGGATGATGGGAAATTCCCAAGAGGTACCCAGGAGTCCTATAGAGAGAGAACAGCAGCAGCTCTTGGGTAGCTGGATACCCAGTCATCAGAATGTAGGTGTCAGGGGCTTCACAGAGACAGAATGTCAATGTCAGTGGCCAGAGTGCACAGAAACAACCTCTCAGGCCCTTTAGGACTCTTCCCTCATTCGTTTCCTTCCTGCAGGGACAAACCTATAGACCGCTTATTTCCTGGGCCCATCCCAGGAACTTCTTCCTGCTTGATACCTTGGAAGGATGCTTCACATTATTGTGGATCCAGTCAGGTCTGGTTTAGGGCACACACATAACCCCAGAACTAGGGAGACTGAGACAGAAGGATAGGAAGCATGAGATCAGCCTGGGCTATACAGCAAGTTCCAGGCTACCCTTGACTACATGACGAGATCCCAGGTCAATAAACATGAATTTCGGTCGTGAACTCTTTCCACAATTGGAAGGAAAAGGGGAGTTGACGTTTTTAAAACGGTCTGCAGAATTTGTAGCAATCTACCTCACTTCTTTTCGTAATCATCAAATGAGTGCTAAGATGTTATTTTGGTGGCTGCAACCGTTTGCTTATGAACTTCTCTAAGAAGTTTCTATCATGGAGTCCTTATTGTTCACCGCTGCATTTTACTTACTGACTCCACCTGCCAGCGCAGAACCAGAGCTAAGCACGCCCTCCAGAACACAGTACACACCCATCGGTGGTCCACACGAGACCTGGCTCCCAGTGTTTCATCCCTTCCTTCCCAGGCTGTCCATGAGCAACATGCAAGTTTGTTTAATGTACTCTCTTGGGCTCCAAGCTCTTTAGGATGAGTACTGTGGAGTCTTTCCTGGAGATCTTCACTCCCGTAAGTGACGCTTCCGTTGTCCATCACAGACACGCTCTTCATGCAGTAGTGCTTTGATAATGCTTAGTCCTGCTCTGTAACCCTACGGTCCCCTGTCAAATACTCCACTGTGCACATCACTGCCTTACACCAAAGTCCAAGTGAAAAATCTGTGACAGACTCCAAGACGGTGGTGAAATCCAGAGGCCAGGTGCTGATGTGACTTACCTCCAGGGGCCGCCATCAATACCATAATCAACATTCTGCTAGGCTGAGGTTCACCTCGAGTCACAGTCTCTGTCTCCCCTTGCAGACCTGATGACTGGTCATGCCTTTGAACAAGACCAAGGAGGAGATGAACACATCACAACCCTGCATATGCTTGATATAACCAGACACCATCCTTGCCTTCAGAACGGAAGCTTGGGAGATGGGGGCTGTTATTTTCTTTATTTATCATTTGCTCTTGAGATCAAACTTAGGTCCTTTTGCATAATAAACAAATGTTATACCACTGAGCTATACCCCGGTCCACACACTCTGATTTCTAATTCCCTGAGCAGGGCTTGGGCATCCCCCTGCCTACCTAGATGACTCAAACACCTAAGAATTTCTCAACATCAGGAGTACTGATACTTTGACTGGAAACTTCTCTGTGAGTAAAGCAGATTACTCAGCAATGTCTCAAGCCACCATCAGTCCTCCACTGTGGCAGCCCA